TTATCCATTCTTCCCTTGGACTAATGGTTTTCCCTGCATCTTTTGTTTTCTTCACTCTTCTTTCAATGGGAAAGAGAAACACCATTAGTTGCACATTAAATGGCCACTTAGACTTTCCTTTAAATTTTCATTTAAGAAGTTGAAACTGTTTTTTGCAACACTAAAGAAACGTCCTCATGCCATAGAGGATATTGTTATTATTATTATTTGCCATCAGGTCGACTGTAACTCATGACCACTTTATGAACAACAAAACAAATCCTTAACCATTCTGTGTCATCCTCAGTCACCAGCATGTTTGAATCTATTATGTGACTGTGTGCCAGTTCATCTCACCCAGGGCCTCTCACTCCTTAATTGGCTCTCTGCTTTACTAAATATGGCATATTCCTTTAACAGTTGATACATCCTGAACTTGTGTTGAAAACAAGCAAATTAGACAGTTTTCTGTTGTGATCCATAAGGTTTTCATTAGGTGATCCAGTTAATTTTCATAAGTAGATTGCGAAGCCATTTTTCTTAGTCTGTCTTAGTCTGGAAGATCAGCTAAAAACTGTCTACCATGGTTGACCCTGCTGGTATTCGAAATACTGGTGCCATAACTTCCAGTATGCAAGCCACCGTAGTATGACAAACTGACAGACACGTGTGGGTCCTTAGAGTAAGTAGGAAATGTAAGTGGCCTTTCTTATTCTTTGTTTTTGAAAGGAGAATGTTCATTTTCTTTAGTATATAAGGACATAAATACAATAAAAATCTCAATCTTTTACTCATTATTATTCCTTTTAACAGTCAAGTCCGTCATCTCCAGAACCAGCTAGTCTTCCTGCAGAAGATATTAGTACAAATTCCAATGGTCCAAAATCCACAGAAGTTGTGTTAGATGATGACAGAGAAGATCTTTTTGCAGGTAATTGTGAATATCTTGTTTTTTAATAGTAGTCAATTGTAATGTATACATTATACCTTGTTTGATAAAAAATATTACTGTATGACTTATTAATGGTAGCTCTTCTTAATTAACAACTTAGACTAGAAAATTACCAACTAGACCATTTTATGAAAAACATGATTCCTTCTGGTTTTTTAGGCACTTGTAAATATTGTAATTTAAAATTTTTAAATTACATATTGTAATTTCATTCTTTTTGTTAGTACTTGGACTCAAAAACAATGGACATGACATTCATTCTTTGAAAAGTAGCAACAGTTATATTCTTTATTAATAAAGCAACAAAGCAAAATTGAACAGTAGATTTAAAAATCACTTTCATTATGTCACTATATATTTCATATAGGAATATATGTTTTAAATCTACTTGTTTTTAATAAAATGCTATAGTATTTACCACCTGTTCTATGTTGATTCACTTTTAGGTGAATGAATAGATGCTTGACAAATTTGTTTTTGGTAAAGGAGCAAAAATTGATGTAATCAGTCCCAACTTAAATATATATGTAGTTGATCTCAGGATTACGAATGAGTTCTATTCCTACATCTGTCTTTAAGTCAGATTTGTATGTAAGTCTAAACAGTGTGTATTTATTGTCAGTTAATCAAGTTTTTGTCTTCATATTTAATATATAGTGTAGACTGTATTGTTTAAAAATTTTTTTAATTGCTTTCAGATACACTAAAATTTCTTTACCATAATAATACATTACTACTAGTATTTGATGAACATCTCAAACCATTGTATGTACCTCAACTTTTTAATATAATAGGCTTTTATGGGATTGATGTAACTTGGGGACTACTGGCATATATGGGAGTCTCCAAAATTGTTACTTACTTTAAGACTAAAATTAAGTCAATTTAGTGTTTTACTAGTAAGAAAATACTTACTTAGAATTAATGACACAAAAAAGAAAATTTAAAACTTTGTGTATTTGGTTAATAGCTTAACTTCCTTAAACTGGCTTCTTCAGTAGTTTTACTCAAAATAGTATTCAGATTTTAGAAAAATATTTCTGCATTTCTCGTACAAATATGCTTCAAGATACAATTCTCCATCATAAAATTCCAAAGTAATTTATCTGTTTGATCAGTACTATGAAAAATTGCCACCACAAATAAATTTACATACTTAATCATATTAGAAAATAAAGGATGATATCAAATACCTTCATGTTTCCTGTGTTTCATTTTATTTAAACTACCTAACAACTTTGAGTCAAAATCTGTTTTCTTATCTGTTCTGCTTTTTATGTCTCTTGACTTGTACATTTAATC